GTGTGTGTGTGTGTGTGTGTGTGTGTGTGTGTGTGTGTGTGTGTGTGCGTGTGATACTGGTCTAGTACATGCAAGCAAAGCGTACACACACACGCCTTCGCTCGCTGTCGTACATGCCTGGATTCGGGCTGTGCCTCTGTGGCAGCGTTATCATCCAAAGAGGCAAACAGCCAGGACCTGATTTAATAAGCTGCCTAGGGAGTCTCAGAGAGGTGGGGAAGCACTATCAGCTGATAACCGTCGTCCCTGCAAGCCCAGCCTTTTCTCTGATAGCCCTGCCAAGAGACGACTCGGCTTCTCCTCGTTTTCTGTGTGAATGTGTATGTGCGCTGAGTGTGTGAGCGATCTCCCGCCGGCTGCTGCCCACGTGTCTGTAGGCTGCCCGTGTCCAACCTTTGCTGCATCTCTTTGGGTGTCAGACAAACAGCAGAGGGGAGCCCAGCACTGAGGAGCATAAGCTCAGAGCTCGAGTCTTTTAGCCCAACCACCCAACAACCACATACATCCCCGCACCATAGCTGCCAATCCTGCCAAGCCGCAGAAAACCATGGGCCAGACTACTGACAGATTTCCCCATCTTTCCCTTTGTCCTGTGCTTCACACAGGACATACAGCAGCAAAAAAAAAAAAAAAAGGTTGAGATAGTGGATGGGTGCGTAGTGCACTTGGTTTTCATGGTGGAGGCAGCAGACCTATAATTAAAGTTGGCTTTTTTTAAAATTAGGATCTTTTCATAAGAAAAATCTGAATGCCTTGTTGAATCACATGTTTTCTCATCTAGGCAGCCCACAAACAACTGACTGGGTTGTCTTATTTCACAGTTTGTGTGTTGCAGATACCCAAATGTATGCGCACAAGCGCTGAAAAAGTGAGTTCTCTATGATATGTCCGCCCCGACAAAGTGTCTCAATTAATTAAGCTCAAAATTGGGTTGTATTTGTGAACAGGTTTGGATTCAGAGAAGATTCAGTTTAAGATTTGTTCAACTTCGTGACACTAGTTGCTAGTGCAGTGTTAGCTATATCGGTGTTGAATTTAGCATTTTTTGACATGGGAAAATGCATACATTTCTATCTATTTGAGTTCCATGTGCTACACGACATGAATGAATCCAACATTTCTCAGACTGTTGTATTCTTCTTTTCTCATAGTTATAATGTAATTTTATTTCAACAACAAAAAGTATCATAGAAGATCATATCAACACCAGTGTTTCTGTCTTTACCTTTACCTTTTTTCTCCCACCATCTTTTCGTTGGCCAATGTTTTTCTGTATTTCTAAGCCGCTGGTATTATTGTCATTATAAGGTCAGTGATTGCTTTTTTTGTCTGTGGTGTGCGTTACCACGTCAAGTATCAAGTACTACCTCTTCACTGTATGTGGAGTGTGCGTGTGTGTGCGTGTGGATGTTGCAGGGGGGCTTAAATGATAGGCCTACTTTGGTGGTGGCCACGGTGACCCGCAGCTGACACTGATGATTGATCCTGGTGCTGGGATAAGTGCCTGTGCACCGGTGAGCACACTGGTCCACTGAAACGCAGCCAAGCGGAAAATTAGAAATCTCTTCATCCCTGGTCCATTTGAAATCCGATATCTCCCATCTTCCCCTCGCACAGGCACCTTTCCTTAGCCAATAAATCAGTAATTAAATGATGTGTTTGTATGTGTGTATGTGTGTGTGTGTGTGTGTGTGTGTGTGTGTGTGTGTGTGTGTGTGT